AAGCAAAAAGAAGAAGAAGAAGAGAACGCGTTAATCAGTATACAAACTTTGTTCAATTATATGAGAGATATTACCTTGAAACCAACTTCTCTTGATAGCCCTATGAAGTGAAACCTTTTTATTCTGCATACAAAAATGAGGATTGAAGTGGAATGAAAAGAAAAACTAACCACACACCGTCCTTTTTCTTCTCATTTGTTGATAAAATATGATGAGAAACGAACTCTAGCGGAACGAAATATGATAGTTGATGCTACTCAGAGAAGTGTAACAATCGAAGTGGTGTGAACAAGGAATACTGATTCAAGTGGGAGGATACCTAGTAAGTAATCGAATCGATTGATAATCGTTCCTCTTATACTGCGATCTAATATATTTTGGGTATCATGAACAATTGAGTTTCTATCGGTTGTTTAAATGTTGTCCTGCTTACCATTAGAAGTGACGCTTCTGCACTGAATCTTGTACGGAAACAACGTGTTGTGGCTGCAAGGGAGACTGAAACAAGGAATGAAAATTTGTCCAATGTAAGACATTTTCAATGATTTTCGAGTGAGTTTGATGGTTGTTGAAATTTCTAATGACTTTGAATTGAAGGTTGTTGATCAAAAACGGCAATCAATTTGCAAATGAATTACAAATCCTTCCTATAGTATTACAATGCTCATTTTCCTTTTTCTCTCTCTAAATATCAGAGTGTTTCTGATCGAACTCGATATTGAAACCGTTGCTGCGTGTGTCATTCGATCTGACTTAGTCTCTTTCGCATTTTTCTTCTTGAAGCACAATTCCTCTGCTCTCCGATGTCCTGATATTTATCACAGTTGTGATTTACTTATTTATTCGGTTTGCATGCGACCGATAAAAATCTTGTGATATGGAATGACGTCATCTCCATCTTCAATTTCGATTTTTTCTAGTAACATTTGTTCTGCCTTTAAAACATTAGAGTTGGAGACATTATATTGATGAGGTATGGGTAATTAAAGTGAAAAAAATGTTTTGGCTGTCTTGTAAATAGTCATGGTTGGACGTCCAGTTTTGGAATTATTGTTATTCCTGAATATTCATCAATTCATTGACTTCTTAAGTTCAGATTAGATTGCGTAGATGCCGTAAGTTAAAAGTCCTTCGATAAAACAATGAGTTAAGTGATTATAGATTACGTTTACGTCACATTGCCGTCAATAATGAAAAGTCAGTGCACTTTGATTTGGCCGTCAAGCTTAATATCTGTCCATGAACACTTCATCTCTAAACTTAGTGACATTATCAATACCACCCTCTTCAGAAGACATATGTATATAAATCCAATCTAGAGTTTACCTAGTATCCTAACTACCATAGGCTAATCAAGAAAAGTTTGATGTCGTCAGCAGTTAGCGGGATAATTAATCCCCAATATAGACGCCTTTCTAGATGGACTCAACTAAATATAAGATGAAAACAGAAGTGGGGTGACAGAAATCTCACCTTCAGCTTAAAGCTGAATAACATTTGAGGCCTAAAGTAGCTAGTTAAGTAATCGTGTAACCTTTCAGATGCCACATTCATTTCATCAAGTCAGTATTTATGAATTCGCCGGGTTTGAGGATGAAACGGTGACGATCAAGTATAGAGGCTCAGAGAAATGCAGACTAATGTTTACATTGATGCTTCAATACGATTAAGTTTTACTCATAGCTATCTTTGTTGATTTCACCGTTCATATATCATGAAAATTCACTGTAAAAATTGAAATCGAAAGTAATTTTAGCCAAGTAGAAACCGCTAAGCATACTCCTAAACACCTTCAGTTGATGTGAAAACCTCCTTTTTAGTGAGCACCGTTTCCATTCGGTTGAAAAGGAACACCTCCATGAGATATGCAACACCTGTTGAAATGCAATCAATAGAAATATTTAATTCTGTCACTAACCTAATCTGTGAATAAAGGCATTAATGCAGCTTTCCTTTCTATTCGATGGAGATAACAGTTTACTTCATCAATCATGGTGCAGACAAACACACGTAGAACAAACTGATAGGTGAAGTGACTGTGGGCTTGTTGAGGTCAAAGTCTCATCAATCACACAATCACTTCGACTCACTTTGGTCATAATAGATATATATCTGGGAAGTCTGAGAGTTCACACCAGCAAAAAGCACAATCTTCTTTGTCAAACTCATTAACTTTTCAATAGTGTTCAGTCAAAAATTTCATTTTATGCGAGGAACCTCAGGAGTACCTTTGATGATAGATCAACGAAGTTCGGAGAATAAATAATCTCAGGTCATTCGAGAGGTGAGTTGCATCATATTGTGAGTCAACTGAGGCTTCAAAGACGAGTTGTTTCAATCACATTGGCCCAGAACAACATCATATACATTCGTTACATGTCTGTTTTCTGTCTCACTCTCAGTGCATTCAGTAAACTTCTATGTACTCTGTGAAGAGATGAATGGTATGCTGAACCAGAAAATGAATATAACCCCAAAATTAGTCTCTCCTGTGATATAAATGATGATAGTCGGTTTATTTGCAGGTGATGGGCAAGAAAGAGAGAGGAAAATGGGAATTAAAGCTGGTGACTTTCAGTTCGTCATTCTAGTGAAGTCATGAGACTGATGTTGGAAGTATAGACCTGGTCTTAGTCCCACTCCAGTTACCAGAGCTTTTATTCTTTCTGTAGTGTCGATTACAGGTAACTAATCATTAGTAGGTTATCACACTCATTATCTAGCCAGGCCTACTACTCAACTAGGACTGTCACTCATAATTCCTTTCAGCTGATGTCAGTTTCTATTATGCTGTTTAAGAATGCACTGAGTGAAATGAATATATTGAGGTATATCAGACTGCTTTTTGACAGTGTTATTGAATTGTGGACCACTGGATATCAACTCAGCAAGTGAACGGTAATGTGCTTGGCATGAGATCTGATGGTGCCACAACCGATCCCACGAGATGTCATGGATGGTCACTACTGAGGAGTTTTATGCGGAAAGGACATAGTGATACAGTGCTCCAGGGTCTTCGATTGTTTCCCAAATGATGTCAGTCCGTAATGAGTACTATCTGAGCACATAAGCATTGAGGCCTGTCATACTGTCCTGTAATGCTTATAGAGTACGTAAAACATTTTAAAGATGTATATTTCCTGGAGTCCAGATATTCAGAAGGAGAGAGAAGAATACCCATCAAGGTTGAAATTAGGAAGTGGAATGCATACCTAAACATTGATTCGAATCCCCAGCTGTAACTCCTAAGGCCTAGTTCGAATTCCAAGCAATTCGGTTGTCCAAATCATCTCAGTCATGTCGATGCAAAGAGGATTTTTTGGTTGAATATCTTAGGACCATAGTGTTGATTCTAGTTGCCTTGTCTTAGCAGTAAAACATCAACAGATAGGACCAAAAACGTTCAAAATAATATATATCACTCCACAAAATCTTTCGAATGGATTTCGTACTCACGTATTAAGGGAATTGGAGAAAACAACAATAGTCTTTGAGTGGACAAACGATTTGTGCAACACTTATCTAAGTCACGGCAAGAGAAAACTTGACAAGTGACATCAGAGATTAATTCAATTTTCCATCTCCTTCCGTTTCTTTACTACTTTCAAACAGATGTCTTGTTCGCTTAAACTTTGATTGTCTAAACACTTCATTCTTTACTGTTACACAAGTTTAATCTTTCTGGGTTTTTGACAAATGGTGATTGTTTAAATGTCTGCGATACCATATTGTTCCGATTACTCTTAACTGTCTTGTTTAGATGGATGAATGAACCAGACCTTGTGAAAAACGCCTTCGTATTCCTTCTCACATAATATGTAGGAATATTATACTGTCATTCAATAAGGGAAAATGATAAATATCGCTGGATGATATTCACGTTTACTATCAGACTGATAACTACTTGACATAATTTAAGCTAAATCCCATAACTGGAAATGATCTGTACTGAAGAATTCTGTCAGACAACTGCTGGCTACCACTTTTAGCAATCATGGATGAGTACGCAATTCTGGTCAACAAATATCACATGGCGTGTTCATTACAGTGTGTAATGAGACTGACTTTAAGTGACTGTCAGTGTGCCGCACACTTGTGTCCTCCACACTGTATGCTAGTGTGGACAAAATGCAAACACTTATTTGAATTCGTCAACGTGCACTGGATGATATAGCTAATGAGTTGTAAATTATTGATCCAAGTCTTCTGACAGAGTAAATAACTAAGCTACTACTCTACGTGAAGTGATACTGTGGAGCACTATTTGTTGTTAGATGCTTAGTGCCATGTAGAAAAAGGCGGGAAGGCATAAGCTGAACACTGTACCTAACGGAACAGTCTCCTATTCCTTGAGAAAGTAACTATGCTCAAAGATATAGAAACTCTTCTTGCATGTTCACCTGCATATTTATCTTCCTACCAACTAACCTCTGTCATCCAACGACAAGGTTGCTTCTTACAGATGGTTCAAGCAGGCCTGTGATCATCCAGTCAAATCATCACATGACTCATTCTGATTTCGCCGTGTAACGTTCAGTTATTATAAGATTGTTAGCTAATTTGGTTTCAACAGGAAATTCTTTACATACATAGTCCTCATCGTTCCTCCGTGAAACTCATCTGCAAAGCATGCCCATCTCCACCGTTCCACGCTGTATCAGTGAATAGACAGCTTTAGGCTTCAGAACACGATGCAATAAACTATTTAATTTACAATATCCATCGTCTGTGTTTCACATGGATCACTAAATAATAGATAAAAAAACATTAAATTCCATTCACTCCTGATTGGTACAATGCTTGCGAAGTCCTTCCTCCACCACCCTATCATCGTTAACGCCACCCAGTGAGGATGATAGCACTTACACAGTGTTTACTCACTAACTGCTCTCTTCCTCACTCTATCCATTACTCCAATAGTTACAACCAATGGAAATTAAGCAAAACTCACGTTGCGAAGCTATAAAAATGTATAAAAGGACAAAACTGACTTCAGTTTATATCTCACAGGTGGTACACATTGAATTCTGTTATTTTGAAATTGTTCCAGTCAATGAACGTGGCGTCATTCCTCGTATTCCTAAGTTTATCAATATTATCGATGAAAGGATTAGTAATGCCTGAGGTAAGCACGCCATAGTTTTTCACGGTTAGTGTAATCTGTCTCTTCTTTGGCCTAAAAAATACTACACGTTATTATTTCTTGTACTGGAAAGTGATTTATTGGTAATAGACACGGTGCTTTGAAAGAACCCTCATGTAGACAGTGTAGATCTTTACTTGGCATTACACAATATTCCATACTAGTCAAAAGAAGAGAATTCGATATCTCTAGTGTTTGAGGTTTGCTTCACAGCATCATTTACGTTTGAACACGACCTAGTGAGATGACCGCAGTATGAATACACGTAGGATCTAAGAGGAGAGATAGATATTATTGCCAGAAAACCAAAGTCATCTTATCATCCGAGGGATTTCAAGCCCTTCTTATTAAGTGTCATGATATGTCTTTGAATCAGTAGACATGGGTGGAATGTATCCCAATCTTACTACCACTAAAGAAACTGAGATGAGATGAGCGCACTCTCCGTGGCACATATCATAGTGTCAAGAGAATACTGTGTATTTCTCATACTACAAGCTGTTAAGTATACGGGAATCAAAGTCGATATTCAGTTAAATTTATGAAGCCGCAACTTTAATGTATTAGCCTGATACTTTGAATGACACTCATATTTTCTATATCCCATCAACCAGAAGTTGAATTGCAACCGCAACCGCAGTCGGTAACCAGTTTACAGCAAACCTACGAACTGCATGGTTCACGTTGTCATCTCTTATATCCGAATGATTTTCCAATAGTCCAGTCACTTTGACAGCAGGACATCTGCTGGAAACCTCCAAATCAAAGTATTTAACTGTGGGCTTACATTCACAGTTGTCATGACATCGGGCAGTCTTCTACTGGACAACATACGTTATTGGAAACCACTCATACAGATTCTTCTAACCAGATCAAGGTAGTGTAAACGCCGTAAATCGTATTGACAAAACCCGAGCATTTGGAAAAGCTACTCAGCTGTGAGAAGTACCAACAGTGCAGTGCAATTTGTAAGTGACTTTCAAATTCATCATCCATTTTATGGTGTACCTGTCAATTCAGGCAACCTAGTCGGTATTCTTTGTGATTATGCATCAGGCTATATGCGACCAATTTGTCCAGGTACATCAATCATGAATTCACTTGCAAATCATCTGTTTGGTGTGAATCAGTGCTTTATAAAAATAACCAAGTGGGTCAACAAAATACTTTAATTGAAGGAGAGACACGCTCATTTCGACAACTTCATCTTACACTGTCAAGGTTGAAACATAGTCGTTTGGTCAGTCAGCGGGATTATACAAACCTAAAATGAATTTTCGACATAGTGGAGCCAATATAATTCAATAGTTGAACTCCTATCGAATTGAGTTACATAGTTCATCTTTGTCAAACACCGATGCACATCCTCATGAGGACAAACAGGTATCAGGCTTCTCTAAACAGATAATTCCAAAGTGAGATGATTATTTCATACGTTGAATACTTGTCATGTGCATAATGATGAAACGCATTGCCTCAAGTAAATTTCATTCTGACTGTGGCTGTGAGTTTTCAACTTCTCATGTTTCATGCTTCTTTTTCACATCATTCACTCATCTTATTACAGTTAGTTCAGAATTTCACTACACCTTTGTGTGTGATTAGATTGTGTATCAGATCATTGATCACTCTCCTACTTCTTCGCTGTCATTATGATGATGCAACGTTTACTGCATCTGTCAATGATTAGACTTTGTATAATTTGTGGTGATCACACCAATGTGTATTGCATACGTGTTCCTAGATTTAACTGGAAGAGGCTAGTTGTGATACGACCTCAAAAGAATTACGCATTCGTTGAAAGTCAAGTTAGATTTACGTTAGTATCATCTTGTAAACACTAAATGCATTATTGTTTATGCCATGGAAGTCTACATTTCCTAATGTCTGAAATATTCTCCTTCTCACTGCATGCTCAGAATTCAATCAAAATGTTGACTGTTTACAGCAGCATTATTCATGATGAATATGCATGTTGAATAAACAAAATATGTATTGAATGTTGAACACGAAAGTCTTGTAAACACTTAGGTTTGCTAACATTGCTCAAGGCAATGGTTCATTAAAATGAGAAAGAGGAAAATTATCTAGTAAGAAGTAATTAACTATGCAACTATTTACTGCTCCCCATTGGGTTAGTGCACTTTTACACTGATTGTTTATTCCGAATGTGTGGAGATATTGAAAGGAAGTGAAAATAGGTCAACAAAACAACAGGTAGTTAACTTATAGACAACACAATAGGATAGTGAATTTACTACGACGGAGAAATACAGTGTGAAAATTGAAGTATTATTCCGCTTTTTCTGTCGTTGCCAGACAAGTCATGCAAGACTGATTGCTATATTATTTTGTCAGAAGTTATAGCTTGATTAGGCAATATGTGTATAGATAGCATTTTAAGGTGTTTGAAGTGTCATTGCAGAAATTTAAACGATATGAATGTGCAGACTGTAAATTAGTACAATTTTGATAAACACGTTACACCACTGAATGACCGACAGTAGACATACCTGGAAATTATTTGTCAACCAAATGATTATCACTTCCATCCTGACCTACAAATCTTCTCTACTATCTCAATTCGAGTTGTATACAGTATTCTGTTTCAGGTAAAAGGAGTTGAGAAATTCTTTGCGTATGAATTTCGCCGATTATGTATGGTTTTACTTAGATGACATTTACGAGTGTATCTAGGGTGATAGTGTAAATTAGCATCACAAATACCAGTGATCTAGACGTCTGGTTAACGATCAGCCAAACTTCATAACTTGAGGATGTGTTGGTGTATGTGGGATAGTTCTTAGGGAACGCAAAATGGGACACTCGATCTCAGGAAAGGTAAAGTTAGATTAAAACGCTGAAAGATATAAGTCTAATCTACTACCAAGAATGATGTACACACGGATATGATTTCGTCTGTTTTTCACCAATATGTGTGGTCACCTTCACTGGGATTATTTGAGGCCGTTTCATTTTAAAGGAAGAGGATTTCATAAGTGAATCCACGAGAATATTGTTTTCGATTCATTATGCAAGATAATAGCAATGTTTTGAAAATTAGTATACAGTCTGAAAACACTGATTGAAGTGGTCCAAATCGTTGTACTTTTTCAACCAATCAAACATGCTGAACCTGAATGACAGTTTAGAGAGTTTCTCAACCTCCAGTCTGTAAATCATTATCACGACAAAATCTGCCTGTTCTATTCATCTGTTGGCGATTCGAAATAACACGTGCTCACTCATTCTATAACTTGAAGATCACTCCAGAACATTATGACATATCCAGAAGGCAGAAAGTCTTGAAGGAAGTAGTTATGCCAATACACTACTTTTCCGTAATATATGCAGTTAAGTACCAAAGTGTGATAGTTCACTTGGCTGTTATAACAATGTTTCATCCTCCGCATCCAGTGTTATTCATCCACGATGAGTGAAATTGAAACAAAGATAGTACAGCATTTAGGTGAGTTGCACACTTCTGCATAAGCAGCATGTCACGAGTGGACTCTCCTCACCGGTATGCACTTTGATTTTCACTGCAAGGGTGGCTGAGTTTCTCGAAGGAATGACAACTGATGACATTGATGAATGAATACTAGAAGTAAAAATACTAGAGTCAACCAAAAGGATGATATGCTTCAGTCATCCTCGTGAAACAAGAAAACCTTAGAAGCGAAGCACATATGTGTCGCATCGATAAATATGAATCAGGTGGGAATAATAATACAACATGCTTCAGTTATTCAAGTAGAGATGTGGAAGAGAAGAAGTAAAGGATGAAATGTGGATGGTGAAATTAGAAGGATCACAATACAGATGATTTTTCATCTTGCTCATTTGACAGGACAATAGGCTACTGTATGCCTAACTGTATTTCACTTTCTGAATATTAGTTGTACAAAACCTGCACACAACTACACTAAACAGATACTTTACAGATCACTCAATATATGAGAAGAGATGTCAAGCCAACTGACGGCTTTTAGACAGTGTCATCAGTAAGTTACTGAGTGAAGTCATCACTTCTTTTGAGATCAATGTAGAAGCTGCTGAATCCAGGCTGTGTATCAGCTAAAACAATTGAGGTCTTCAGAAGATTGGCAAGAATGAAGATTTCTATCAGTATTTACTTCAAGGAGTAGTACATGAATCAGACGACTAGGAGTAGATAGATAATTATCACGATTCCAACTATCCCTTCCGTTTGTGGTGGTTGGATAACAGACTATCTGGTATTCCTTAAATCACTACACTGATCTTGAAGTGCAGAACTGATGAGTGAATGTGTTACAGCACACCCCTTGTAAGACTCAGACTGTGTTTCTGCCTCACCAACCTGGCTGTGTTCCGACTGATGAACAAGTCCAACGACTAAGTAAACTCCAACTTCCCCTTAATAATCAGGTGTTTTACTCAGCCATCATGTGTACATATAGTTGTTCAGTGAGGTTAACTTTGTTGAAGAAGACTTACAGGAGGTCTTGTCAATTTACTCACCAGTGAATTAACTCAAAAATAATGTGACCAATATTCGGCTACTTTGTATCATTTTTGAAACTGTTCAATGCATCACTGACAAATGTAACCTGAAGGACATTAGTTTGAGTAATGCCACAAACCACATATTTTTCCACCGCAATCAGCCTACCCCCAGACAACCTCCAGTCTGATAAGCCGTGGTTGTCTCAGGTAGTCTCATCAAGTGAAGGAAACTATGTACTATGTATGATGGTAAGATGATTCATTCGTGAAACTAGAGCCTCTTATTCGTTAATCTTTACAAATCTACTGTGCTTCACTCAGATCATGCTGCATAGAATTCCCGAAAAATATTTACATAGATGAATTTGACTAAAATTGCATTGATTGACATTGGACCGATGAAAAGATGTGTTACATGTACATTATTTTTAATAGTCTCAGTTTTATTTTCTTCCCACTGTTATGTCTATTTCTGAAGACTGCTATTATTATCACTGATCGTGCCTAGGAGTGTGGAGGTTTCCGGTACTTCCGTAGCTTGAAGACAGGGAAATGCAATACTTTATAACTAAGGTAAGCGTTTTGTGCCTGCTCTAACAATGAAATCATCGGGAGCACTTACATATGATGAGTGAACATCTTTCATGTTCCGGGAAGATTGCGCACAACTTGAAAATCTCCCTGTCAACTGTGCATAGAACCGCTCTAATGCATCACCAACAAAACTAATAAAACATGTCTATTCATATGAGGTTAGACAATGAAGACTTCTTCCAGCGAGTATCATCTAACCAGTGAAGTACAGCTTTGCAAAACGAATTACGTTGCTGACTCAATATATGAAGCCTATTATTTCGGCTTTTTGAGACGATGCACTGAGTTCCGTCATCGCTCCTCGAGAAGAAAAGAGTTGAAATTTATTTTACTGTTGGTGACTATCAGAGAAATCCTTCACCTGAGTTCCCTTCCATTTCCCACTGATCATCTTGATATACCTGCATCTCAGTGGTAAATGCTTCACCCATTATTGTAGCCACTTCAAACGCTATAGCGTTATTCGCTAGACAACTGACATGTTGAGAGTCAGTTTTAGCCAAACATGCAACAGTACAAGAAATCGGAAGCTTAACTGGTCCGATCTTCATTCAGCACTTCACAAACAATCTGTTGAGTTTACTTCTGTTTCGGTTTGATTTCAAGTCATTCCTACTGAATGTGTCAACAGAATTGTAAACCAACACCATTATTATTGAGTGGATCTTCACATTTTCAGTCTACGCTCCCAGTTAGACCCTGTCACTACCAATTAGAGTGAAGTTGATAGACAGGAACTGTTCAGTGACCGTTTTCTTCCCTTGTCCTTCTTCTCTTTCCATCCATTTTATCACATGACGACTAAAGAAAGTCTCATTGACTGCTCAAATCAGATTGATAAGCACTATGGTGATGTATGTTTCTAGGTGACCACGATTATGTGATGGTCAGGATATATTCATTTGTTACTTTCGAATTCGATTGGATGATGTGAGTTCATCACCTTTCAAATGGATCCACATTCATTGCCACTTTCATGCCTAGAAATAATGGACACACGTGCACACACTACTAGTATTATACTTCTTGAAATCTGGTCGGAGTTATCTGCATATGAATCAGTATTATCGCTCAACTGTTCAGTTTGTCGCATCTCACACGAGCATATTAGGGTAATTGGCAAGAGTAGAAGAAGTGAACGGATGGATCTCCATAGCACTGGCCAAATACACCCCCCTTCGTGTTCTTCTACTTTCAGTCATTGACTGGTCAATTCGCACTATAAGACGCTAACAGTTGTTCATAGTTTGCATATTATTATCTTGACATATCTGCATGCAGTTTTCCGATTTGATAGTTGTGAATTTCCCAGCTACATAAACATTTGATTAACATATATCACTGGTAGCTGGATACAGTTGTGTCATATTCAATGTTTTCTTGCTTAAATTATCTCTAGGCTGGTTCTATTGACTACCAAACAAAACGTTGGACAGATTTCAAACGAGCACCCAGATGGCCAGACTATCCATTCACAATTAATCCTGAGTTCAAACATCGTGAACTATATGAACAGAGACCGAACCTCAATGATCTATTAGTTTAAGAAGACGGAAGAACAATACTCAATTACTTCATGTTCACTTTTCACCAAGGATTGACGAAAGCAGTACTTCAAACTAATTGATAAATAAATAAATACACAAATGAATTACCTGTTTTCATTGGGAAACTTTTAAGTGTTATCTCACAAAGCTGTTTACCATGGAACACTGAGAATTTATGGTGACTCGTTAGACGCATGCGTCGTGTGCTTTTGAAAGCTGTGGATTATCCTACAGTCTCTCATGTATGAAAAGGTCAAACGAACTCACCATTCAATAATGTGATGAGTGAGAAACAGTGGCATTAGGAAAAAGGTAAGTTTCAGTAGTCAGATGAGAGTGAACGATCAGTAATACCTGATGTTAATAACTGGTATTGGCTAGCATAAGAATCCAGGACGCTGCCTGGGTTCGTCCTATTTGGCATTCTTCCGTTGGGTGTACCTCCATCATTAGCATCCAATGGCAAATAATGGCAAGCGATTTCGCGACATCTGCACAGAGCCCCATATCTGGATTGCGGTCAATCAACGATAGGAGATAACAAGTCATAACATCGAAACCACAATTGTTTGTTCAACTTGAGCTTGTCAGAAGTCTACCTAAGCAAACTGGAGACGTCCTAATTGCCTGGACTTGAGATAATCACTCTTCATATTTCACACACGCAAATAATCTCTACCTCACGATTGGGTCGAGTTTTTCTCTCAAAGGCTATTCACTCAATATATCAGTAAACCACATTCTTGCCACTACCGTTCCCGGATAACCTAAAGAAATGTAGATGGATAAGGAAGATTAGTGGCTGGATACCACATGATTGTGAAAATAAAGGCTGCTTCATCTAAACCTCAACCATAATCTCTGTGAAGATTTTAAACTGGCCTGCCTGCTCCAACCAGTTTATACGAAGGGATAGATGGGGGAAATTGATGGCTTATTGATTAGTCTATATGCCTATGTAGTTAAGATATGTAGTGAAGGGGATTGGTGCATTCACTTCCGATCACACAAACTCTTCCAGCCATAACTAATCGACTTCAATGTTACTTACGGACTGTCATGTTGTCCACCCTAATTTAGGCATGAGCGCGATTGTATATATGAATGTGGTAGAGTTCTCTAAATCCCTTATCTTATTAAGATCTGCCTTCTGATTCTGAGTAAGGTTTTGCGTCATGAAAAATTAACCGATTGCGGTCGACTACTTCGAGCTATGTATTCAGTCGTGCAATCACTGTATGGAATTCTATGAACTAGATAATCTTGACAAATAGGCTCAATATGGTCGTTCAGCATAAGAACAGAGGCATGTGCAGTACATGTTCGAGCTATCTCAGTCAATGAAGGTTTACGACATCATCAATAGACTAACCTTTCTTGCCAAGAATCATGTAAGCACTTGTTTTGACTGCTTAAAGCACAGTTTTGTGGGTGCCTCTCAGCAGTACTTAACCCTCACTTCAGCTGCTGAGACGGAATCAACTAATACATCCTAGCAGAAGTACACGTCTTCAGTAATTTGTGTGACGAGAACAAACCTTCTTCGAATTCCACTGGGTATATTAGCTGACAATTATTATTCACCTCATTTGTCAATAGACTGCAAATACGATAATATCATGACAAGTCATTGTATGATTAAAATTTGACAAGCTTCGTATTCAAATATACGGTGAATATATGGAGCTTGTTCTCTTCTGCACTTCAGTTTTAGCATCGGCACACCAATAGTGACCAGTATCTGAGTTAGTATTGATTACAGATGATAGCCACCAAGATTCACTAACTATATGCAACTCACATCACAGAAGTATTCGGATGTACTCATGAGTCGTTTGACTAGAAATGTATGCCTGTTCGCCAACTCTGAGGCTCCTACTGCTCAACTGCGTGTTCGACAGAAAGTTCAAATGATAAGAGCCGTTGCAGGTATGAAATTCGCGACATACAGGATATCAAATACTACCTGACAATCAGAAATATTTTGACCACATAGAAAACGCTCTCATTGGGCAACGTGGTTGTTGTTACTCAGATCCCTGATTATAAATGATATTGATGAAATTTTAAGTACACGAGTAAACCAGTTGGTGAAAATAACAAAGTGTGACTTTTTGATGCAAAAGTGGTATAAAACAATAAAACACCTAACCGATTGATTGTAACAGTCACAAATGAATCAGGTCGATGTGAGAACAGAAGGTTAAGAAGGGCTAGAACTTCTTGAATACACCATTTCATTTTCTGAATTCTAGAGATATAAAAAAACCTCGCCTGGTTAACTAGTTCACTAGTTACTAGCCGGTCCTAAGCTCGGGTAAAGATGGAAGGTTGGGCATAGGGCTAGCAACCCTACCCCGCAAAACAAATCTAACCGCTAAAGAAACTTCAAAGCACAAACAAAATATAAAAAATAAAACAAAATTATTCCTCGCTGGAATCGGAGAGGGGAAACGATGCCAGTTGGTGAAAGCCTTCGGGAAGCCAATTGACCGATGTGTCTTCGCTTCTCTCGATGAAAGCGAAAGTAAACGTGGGGACATGGATGGAATGTCCGCACCATGTTTGAACCCAGCAAGGCAGCCCAGATTGCAAAGGAGATGAGGAGGTATCACATTGAAGTGCTTGGAATTTGCGAAAGCAGATGGAATGGGAGTGGACTCTCCAAACTGTCAACTGGAGAATCAATAATCTACTCCGATATTGTCACCCAGATGACAACCACGAGCACACTGAGTTATGGAGTGGCTATCATGATGTCCCCAACAGCATCGAAGGCTGTCATGCAGTGGGAACCAATCTCCTCCAGGATCATGACAGCAAGATTCAACTCAAAAGGAAGGAAGGTCACAATCATACAATGCTATGCACCTACGAATAATGCAGAGCAAGAGAAAAAGGAGGATTTCTACAGACAACTTCAATCAACACTGGACAAGACGTCAGTTGGCGATATCAAAATTCTAATGGCTAGGTGACATGAATGCCAAACTGGGAGGGGACAACACAGGAAGAGAACTAACCATGGGTCGAGAAGCGCTCGGTGAGGTGCTGAATGAGAAGGGAGAATTGTTTGCAGAATTCTGTGCATTCAACCATTTGGCGATTGCAGTGAGGCAGTGTGTTCAAGCACAAGGATGTCCACATAGCGACATGGAGTTGATTTCACCAGATGGACACACTAAAAATCAAATCGACTTTATCTCAATCTCAAGAAAATGGAGATGCAGTCAGCCTACTTGACACAAGGTCAAGAAGAGGAGCAGATGTAGGTTCAGACCACTCACTGTCTAGTGCAAGGAACCTTCCAAATCAAGTTGAAAGCCTTCAAGGAAGCTGGTGATAGACCTCAATTCAAGTACAACACTCGGAAACTGAAGGATGAAACTTCAAAGGAGATCTTCACTTCAGCCATCAAGACAAAATGGGAGATATCGAGGAACATCCCTGAAGAAACCTGTGTGGAAGAACACTGGAAGTCTTTGAAAGCTATGTGGAAAGAAACCTGCACAACAGTATTAGGAAGGAAGAAGAAAGGAGACAAGGAATGGATCTCGACGGATACCTGGAAGCTGATAGAGGAGAGGAGGATGGTGGAGCAGAAGATAAACCAATGCATGGATGCTCAACGACATGAGGAACTGAGTACAATGTATAAAACACTACACTGGACAAAGAAGTAAAGAAGAGTGCACGCAAAGACAAAAGACACTTCCACGAAACACTGGTAAGTGAAGCAGAACAGGCTGCAGGTAAGAGAGACCTGACGACATTGTATCAAATAACCAGGTTGCTATCAGGGAAGAGACCAACACAGATGAAACCAATAAAAGATGAAGAAGGGAATTTAATTACGAAAGAAGAGAAACAAAGGAAACAATGGGCCGACCACTTCAAAAAGCTCTTGAATCGACCACCGCCACCACCTGCACTTCGTCCAGAAATACCACCTGCAGCCGCTGAATTACAGGTGAACATAAATCCCCCAACAAAAATGGAATTCCTGAACGCCACAAAGCTACTGAAATGTGGGGAAGCAGCAGGACCAGATGGAATCCCACCAGAAGCACTGAGAACAGATGCAGAGACAACAGCGGACATGCTCACACCACTATTGCAGAAGGTGTGGAAGGAAGAGAAGGTACCTGACGATTGAAGAAGGGTTACCTTGTCAAACTGCCGAAGAAAGGAGACCTCAGTGTTTGCAAGAACCTGCGCGGAATCACTCTCCTATCCACCCCAAGTAAAATATTAAGCCGCATCATCCTGGAGAGGCTTAAAGACGCACTGGATTCAAAACTGCGACCGGAACAGGCAGGCTTCAGGAAGTACAAATCATGTGCTGACCAAATTGCAACGCTTAGCATCATCATAGAACAGAGCATAGAATGGCAATCAGCTCTCTGCCTCAACTTCATCGACTTTGAGAAGGCCTTTGACAGCGTCGACCGAGAAGTAATTTGGAAACTGCTTCAATACTACGGAGTACCGCAAACCTTTATCCGCCTCATTCAACAACTATATGAAGATGCCACATGCCAAGTAATTCACAATGGGAAGCTCAGTGATGCTTTTGAAGTGAAGACAGGAGTGAAACAAGGTTGCCTACTATCCCCCATGATATTCCTGATTGTGGTCGACTGGATCATGCAGCAAACAGTAGGCAGCGAGAAGAGGGGGATATGCTGGACGGCGGAAAAGAACCTAGAAGACTTGGATTTCGCCGATGACTTGTGCCTAATGTCACATAAACTTGAAGATTTACAGGCAAAAACTAACAAGTTGATAGAAGAGGCAGGGTAGAGCAGCGAAGACGGGACTTCAAGTGAATATAGAGAAGACAGAGGTGATGAAGATACCCAACCAAAAACTTTAACAGCAACAACAAGCTCCAATCACCGTCAACGGGAGAAACTTAAAGGAAGTAACCTCCTTCACTTATCTAGGAAGCACTGTTTCAACTACAGGCGGGACAGTCGAGGATGTCAAAGTCAGAATCGGAAAAGCAAGACAGGCGTTCATTAGCCTGAAACCAGTGTGGAGATCTTATGCACTCAGCATGCGGAACAAGATCCGGATTTTCAACACCAACGTCAAGTCAGTG